ACTTGGATGAAGGGGCAGGTGCCTCTTTAGCAAGTTCACTGATGACACAAAGCTGGGAGGAGTGGCCAATACCCCAGAGGTCTGTGCAGCCCTTTAGAAGGTCTTTGACAGGGTGGAGAGATGGGCTGAGAGGAACTGTCTGGAATTCAACAAAGGCAAATGCAGAATTCTGCACCTGGGGAGGAATAACCCCAGGCACCAGCACAGGCTGGGGTGACCTGCTGGAAAGCATCTCTGTGGAGAAGGACCTGGGGTCCTGGTGGACAAAAAGGTATCCATGAGCCAGCAGTGTCCTCAGGGCCAAGAAGGCCAGTGGGATCCTGGAATGCATTAGGAAGAGCAGTGCAGGTCAAGGGAGGAGATCCTGCTCCTCTACTCTGCCCTGGTGGGGCACTTCTGGAGTGCTGGGTCCAGTTCTGGGCTCCTTGGTACAAGAAAGACACAGAGCTCCTGGAGGGGGTCCAGCAGGGGGTTACAGAGATGATTATAGTGCCAGAGCATCCCTCCTGAGTAGAGACTGAGGGAGCTGGGCTGTTCGGCCTTGAGAAGAGAAAACAGAGGGGACCTCAACAGTGTATACAAATGTATAAAGGGAGGGTGTCAAGAGGATGGACCCAGGCTCTCCTCAGTGGTGCCAAGCAATAGGACAAGAGACAACAGGCAGAAACTGAAAAGCAGGAAGTTCCACCTGAACAAGAGGAAGAGTTTCTTTACTGTGAGGGTAACTAAACTGGAACAGCTTGCCCAAAGATATCGTAGGGTCTCTTTGGAGAGGTCTCTGGAGCTTTTCAAAAGCTGTCTGGATACAAGGAGCTTTAGAAAACCCTGCTTGAAAAGGGAGGTTGGACTAGATGACCTTCAGTACTCCCTTCCAACACCCGTTTGGTGGTTCTGCAAACTCCTACAGGAGAACACACAACAGGCACATGACAGTACAGACCCACTTAAATAGCACTCTATCCTATTACACATGACATTCTATGCTTCATGTTTCCAAGCTTGAAACCTTGGAAGGCTAACATCCTCATGCTGCTATTAGAAAAATAAAAAATACGGGGCAAGTACTGGCTTTAGTGATGAACACCACAAAGCTGCCACCTAATAGACCAGAATCTCATTGTGGCTACCACTATGACAGCAACTCTGAAAAAACCCAAAAGTTTGTGTCATCTAGGTGATGCAACAGAGATGTTTGATCTAACATCTACCTGGAAAGAAAAAAATGAGGAGATAGATTTTCCCACTCTTCTGTTATCAAGTCTTTTTTAGCAGATTTCACTAGACATCACACACTGTTTAACTTCTGAACTCTAACAACTGAACTGATCTACAAGGGGTTCCTCAAGTCACTCTTGTTTGCTTTAAGGCTTGTTACAGAAACCAGTTAGGATGCAACACACCACAACCTTTTTTCAGGTGCACCTTACACCCCATACAGCTGACACACAAGCTGACATCATGTCCCTCCAAGGCATCATGAAGACAGAGCTGATGCATTTAGGTTGATGCTAATTGTGAAGTCATCTGAAGTCCAGCATTAAATGCCGATACAGCAACATAAGGTTGTACACAGAGGCACCTTATAAATGTACTTTCACCCTCTCACACAGGCAGATAAAAACTGTATTTTAAGGCCTGGCAAGAAGAGGGTTGCATAGGACCAAGCAGATATATTCCTTCTAACAAAGAACTAGAGGCCAATCAAAGTAACTTAGGAGTCAGGTTCAAAACAAACACAATGAACAGCTCTTCATGCAGCACGCAGTAAATCAACAGAACACAAAGTCCTTTGGTAAGGAGGCCACAGAAGGATTTATATCAGTTCAACGGAAGGTTAGAGAAATACTTGGAAGAATTCCAGTTAAGAGTGACTGAATAGAAAATTAACTTGTTGGCATTGACAGCTGGGGGAGGGGAGCAGACAGGCAAGACTTGAACTTGTAGCTCTTGTAGTACCAAAAGCACAAGGCTTTAGCCACAGTGCCATGCGCAACAGAAGAGGGCTGGAGGCCTGGACTCAACTGGTGCAAGCGATGTCACATTCACACCCTCAAACTGGCACTCCTTCTAAAGATGCTTCCTACTTCAACTGAGCAATGACACTAGCAATTTTTTCCTCTAGGACTCAAAAACACCAGTTTAAGAATTTAAAAACTAGTTATAAAATGCTAATCATTGTAGCTGGGCTTCTCAGCAATCCATCTTAACCTACCTCCACTTTGAAAGGGTCTTTGTTGCCTTTCTGTGGAAAAACTCTTATGTTCATATATATTTTAAACCTAGCCTATAAATAACCTAATGGTGGAAAGAATTATTTTAAAAATTTGAATTTAAACGTAATATCTTTAATAACGTAAAAATTAAATTTCTCTTCAGAAGTGTCAGAGACACTTGGAAGCACAGATCTTCTGGTCTTAACCTGTACTTCTAAGTTAAAGCCTTCTTCAAAGCCTAAAATCTATGCTCCCTGAAATAACAAGATATGGCTATTCATTCATAACTACAAAAATCCCACAGTTTCATCCTAACCCCAGTTATTTCAAGTCAAGTTACCTACCGAATATTTTCCAGTGCAGTTGTTAGTTGCTCTTGTGCAATATCATAAAGTTTCACTTTGAAGCCTCCAGCAGCAAACACCATGGCCCAGCTACGACCAATGAGTCCACTGAAAAAAAAATCAGCCAATTAATAAACCAGCATTTAATAGGGGTAAGAAGATCTTTGAAATAATTGCAAAAACCAAACCAGAGCTTGGACTCTTTGATATTTGATAATAAAATGAGTTGCATACTGATGAGAAACAAATCTCTCTAACAGAGAAATACCCTTTGCTGGCTGTGTATAGCAGCTTCTCCAAAAGCTGGAATGAAAATAATGGGGAAGAAAAAACCCACAACAAAACAGAAAAAGGAGAGCAGAAGTCAAACAGAAGGAACCACGACTTTGTGATACTGGACTCAATCACCAACAGTTTTGTCAGCCACAATCTTAACCTGGACTTGGTTAATGCATTTACATTAAAGAGCTTAAAAATAAATAAATTAATAAATAAATAAATTTGTTTGGCTCATAGACTGAAGACAGGCAGCAGTCCACTGATCCCAGAGTGCAGGATCCTGCTTCAGGGGTGATCAGAAAACTCAGGGCCCAGCTACTGAAGTCACAGATTCTCAGCAATTCAGAAAGCACCACAAGCACATGAAAAGGGAAAAAAAAAATCTCAACTGAGCATGGGTTTGGTACTATTTTTCCATCTAGCCACCTCTAGCACTACCTTTATTTTTAGATTAAGTACTTTATCATGCTGGATACACAGAGGAACAGTCTGTCTACATCTTTTGGTGAATCATATTACTGAGCAATACATGGAGGAAAACTGTAGTAACTGACAATTGTATCATCTCTCTTAAAGCGATGCAAGTTCCAACTTCATTAGATGTGTAGCAAGCAGCAGTCTTTTCAAATGGAAGCACAAAGGCACAGTGTCACAAGCTTAAGTAAACTAAAATCATAAAAAATTAGGAAAAAAAATCCAGAACAGAGACAAGATCAGAACTTAATATCCATGACTCTTACATTGGGGGGTTTGATAATTACATGCATTTCCTCTCACTTCCAAGATCATTGTATTTGCAGCATTAAACTTTAGTGATATCTGGCAATTGAAAAATTCAGTGCCATTAGGGCATCAATAAAAGATTAAAAGGGGAGCAAAAGTCAGAGATAAAATAACAGGGCAGATGAGAAAAGAAGGAAGGAAAAACAGGAACATGCTCAGCCTTTGGTTTAACTATATCCTTTTTAAAAGGATCAAAACAGGAAGTTTCAGGAAATAGCAGAAATCAGTGGAAATAACTGTGAAAAAAAAGTAAAGTTTTGCATTTAGTGCTATTAAGCAGAGAGTAAGATCTCACTCAAAACCTACCATTTAAAAATAAACTACTTCTCTGTAGTAGGCCCAGAGTTCATCAATTCTAAGGCAAGCAACAGAACAAACTTACAGAACAGGCATGGTCAATGTCTGTTGCAGCCTCATAGTTAATAAGTATAATAAAATAAAAGCATTTGAATCATTTCAACTTGATATAAGCATATCTAATCTACCAGTATCTTTATAAAGTAGCATAACCTCTCTAAGTTGCATGTTTAAATTAAATTTCCTTAAAACACACAAAAAAAATCTTTAATACAGGCTTTTAGGATTGTGGGGTTTTTCTTTTGAACCACAGAAAACACAAAGTAAGTCAATGGTAGGCATCAGGCATGCACCATTACTGCACTGTACATGACAGCATCGCCACAACTCAATGTTAGCATATTTCACCCCAAGACAGTGCTCTTTGACACTTTAAGCACTATCATTTTGGGCCCAGTGATAGATAAAGTATTAACAACCAGATCTGCTCACACAGCTTCTGCAGGTGCTACCAAAACCTGCTGTAGTGCCACAGGAGCCGCAACAGGCAAGAGCCCAACTCTGCTGACCCTTCAGACACACCTACAGTGAATACAATTTCCCTGAGTACCAGCAGTAGGAGCCAGTTGGGTCAATGTCACACAGCACCACTCAGACTCCCATCCTAAGGCTTCAAGTGGTCTTGCTAATAAAGTTGGCTCCAGCCCACACTTGTAGCACCAAGGTACAGTGGTGCACAGGGGACTGTCACTATCCCACACCTATTTTCTCCCCCCTCCAGATTCTTGTTCAAGTAAAGAATTTTAGGTTCAGCTCAATGAGAGAATGAAACAATGTGTAGCCACACAAGCCAGAAATACTGCTGACTCTTGTGTCAAGTCAGTATTATTTCAGGAGTGTCTAAGGCAAACTTAGGAGTTTCCCGATATAGTTGACAAATAGGACGTTAAGCTGTGCTTGGATTTCTCCACTCCTCTTGCATTTACACACACACAAGGAATTGCTATGAAAAGGGACACTAGTCTTTCAGACCTAAAGGGTGACTCACTTCGGTAAAGATGTTTGTTTGCTGTTTGTTTTACAGTAGCACAGAGCTGTCAGAGGCTTAAACAAAGGCACCCTAAGCAGAAGAAGGCAGGTGCATCCCCCCACTTCCCTAGATCCAGCAGCAGCGCGCCCCCGCGGCTGGGCAAAACCACCGCCGGCCCCGAGCCAGCAGCTCGCTGACACATCCGACGGCTGCAGCAGCGGGGACAGCTGGGGCAGGGCCGTACCGACACTGAGCACCCAAACCCCTCCTCGCAGGCCGGGCCGAGCGGGGACACGGCGCCCAAACCCCTTCGCACTCCGCGGGCATCCGTCCTACAGGCGCCGCGCCGGAACCTCCTCCCTGGGGCGCCGCCGCCGCCCGCGGGCGGCCAGAGGCTTTACCTGCCGATGATGGCAACCTGCAAGGGCTCCATGCCTGCGGCCGCCGCGACCGACAGATGCGGGATGGGCAGCGGGATGAGCCACCTCGGCCCTGTGCGGGTCCGCCCCGCCCGCGGCTCCCTCCATGTCACAGCCGCCCATTGGCTCCGCGGCCGCCCCCACCCCGGGGGCCGAGCCTGCCCGGGCCGGGGCGGGGCCGGGGCGGGACCGGGGCGGGGCCTGCCCGGGCCGGGGCGGGGCCGGGGCGGGGCCGGGGCGGGGCCGGGGCGGGACCGGGGCGGGGCCTGCCCGGGCCGGGGCGGGACTGGGGCGGGGCCGGGACCGAGCCTGCCCGGGCCGGGGCGGGGCCGGGGCGGGACCGGCACCGAGCCTGCCCGGGCCGGGGCGGGACCGGGGCGGGCCGGGACCGGGCCGGGACCGAGCCTGCCCGGGCCGGGGCGGGGCCGGGGCGGGACCGGGGCGGGGCCGGGACCGAGCCTGCCCGGGCCGGGGCGGGGCCGGGGCGGGACCGGGACCGAGCCTGCCCGGGGCCGGGGCGGGACCGGGGCGGGACCGGCACCGAGCCTGCCCGGGCCGGGGCGGGACCGGGGCGGGACCGGGACCGGGGGCGACTCCCACGGCCGCAGCCCCCGAGTCCCGCCCCTCCTGCTCCCCAGGCGCGGAGAGAAAACATTTTAAATGCTTAATTAATATAAAAAATAATATTAATGTACTCTTTATATATTCAATGAATCTTTTTAAGTTTTCTTGTCTTTCTGAAAAAATCTAGCAGTCGAAAAATAAGACATTCGAACCCAGAATAAAGGTTTGATAGTTACTGATGAAGTTCAGTGAACTTTTATTTGGCTATAATTTAAAAGTTTGTTCAGTTTATCATTTCTTCTACTTTCCAAGAAAAATAAATAATGCTAACATTTGGTGCATCTGCCCGCTCACTGGCACTTTGCTAATTCCAATCACATTTAACAACGAGATGGAGATGTCAAAATTATATTTCCTAACAGCTTCATGAAGACTGCTCAACAGATAGCAGGTGGAAAACCAAAGTATTATCTCCTTGGCTTCCTGACCTTAACACCACCCATGTAACCTGAGATATGCCAGTAGCTGGGAAGTGTTAGTGGAGCAAAGTGGCAGTAAACTTGGGCATGGGAAGATTTAAAGCCGTGGGACAGAAGAGTGTAGCACACTGGGCCAGTTATGCTGCTCAGGGCTTATGTAGGCTGGCATAGAAAGCAGCATTTTAAGGTTTTAGCAAATACCAATTTTGCTCCTTTGAAGACTAATGCAAAATGGCATGACTAGGCACATGTTCTGAACACAAAGACCTTTGTATAGATGGAGCATAACTGAAGCAAACAATGTATACTTACTTTGTGAACTCGGGTTTTTACTTCAAATAAAAAAATTGTAAGTTGCTAGAACATAAAAGTAATGTCACCTGGGCTTGAGAAAAATGGTCTTCAGAACATTCAATTTAGAAGTACTTACCAGTTATTTTAATACTCTTTGACCTCCTGAGATGTGTATTTTTACCTTACTTGTCATCAGCAATAGACTAAGAGACAAAAGCCAATGGAGATCTACAAGCGGATTCAGAGAATTAAAAGCTCAGTTTGGTGTGTTGAGAGCTAATCACAGCTGTGATAAAATTACAGGGCCTTTTAGTTCTGGGGGTGAACAAAACAAGTCTATGGCAATGACATCTGAACTATATTATTATTGTTGTTGTTGTTATCCATAAATTAGTGACAAACCCCCATAGCTCTGCATTACTTAATCAAAAGTAGGGTATGACTGTGGCCATATTCCCCAGCTTCTGCAGTGATCAGACACACTGAGAAGTCCAAACTAGATCAAAAGAGGAAAGAAAAGTTTGCAAGAAGAAAAGAAAATATAGATAATTAAATTCTCAGAAGTGTAAGTCAAGGGAAGAAAATGTGACTTAAAAACAAAGTACAAGTTTAATTTTTATGTAATAGCATAAGAGTTTTAGGCCCAGGTCTTGCAGCCTCCACAAGTTAGGGACGGTGATTCTCCTCTGTCCTCTGCAGTTCACATGGAAAGGACAGAATGTGCTGTAAGCCCAGAAACATCAAAAACCATAACCAACGAATAACATGGTGAGACGACTTGTGCTTCATAAGGAAATGAAAAGTAGGGTTTGTACTGGCAGCAGAAGAGGCCCAAGTGGAGCAAATATGCACTCAGCAGCTTATGTATTCTTTCTTCAAAGCCAAATAGGGGTAGAGGCAGATTTGACTTGTGTTGGGAGCTGCACAGTTGATCCCTCTATGTTTTTAGTTTCTTTCTATGGAGCGTGCTCCTCTGCTGCCCCACGGGCAGAGTTGAAATCTGCTACTGGCCACAGAGGGGTGGATTTATTGCAGGGGAGAAGCAGGATGGCATAAAAAGGTCATGTAAGAAGTAAGGAGAAATAACTCTCACTAACTCTGAGCCATAGGGACATGGAATATGAAGGAGATGCAAATTCCCCCTTGGAGAAAATAAAGGAATGGTATGCTTTTAAAATACAGAGAGTGCTAGCCAGAGCTTTTAGTGTGGAATAAAAACAGAGGCATAGTTCACATTTGTTAAGTATTAGATCTGTTTAATACATCACTTGTTCACCAGAACAACCAGCAAGTACATTTATTTGGTAATGGACTATGATCTGTTGCTACTACATTCCTAATGGTTCGTGAAGTATAATGACTTAAAAAGATAGCTTTAGTTAATAATTTTATTGCTGTTCTGTAGAGTTTTAACTAATGGTTTGCATACTGTGTTATAACTAGTGGTTGTATTGAAATGATGTTAAAATTAAAACTATAATTTTAATTACTATTCGTAGTTCATGCTGTTAATTTGGGTCTTTCAAAGTGCAGATGGCCTGAAGCAAATACTACTAATATCGTTAAAATGCTGATTCTTAAAGAAGCAATCTAAAGGCATAAAAAAGTAAATAGTAGTAAAGTAGATGGTACTAAAGCACAATTCATCAAAACTAGATAGAATTATATAGTTCAATAGTAAAAATACCTGTTAAGAAGATTATCTTCCTGTTGCAAATGCATTTTAAACCCAAACTACAACATATGGTACAACAAAGAAAGACACATGGAGTGATTCTTGGGGTGTCCTGTGCAGGGCCAGGAGTTGGACTTCAATGATCCTTGTGAGTCCCTTCCAATTCACATATTTTATAGTTTTATATACATTATTTGTAACATATGTATCATTCATAATGAGGTTTTTCCATTCATTTTGTTTTCAAATTGTATGCTGACTAGATGCATTAGTTCCCTGAGGAGCAGTTAAATGCAGCTTCACTGTTTGTGGCAGTCAAGCTACTTGAATGGTTTCTGCATGACAGCAGAAAATTCCAAAGACCTGGTCAGTCCAGAATTCAGTACTAGAAAATTATTTTTTTAAAGATTACAGTGGGAGAATTACATTTTCAATTCAGAAAAACACCAATTAGTGCTTGATCAGATGAACAGTTCAACTGGCAGAGCAAGGGTAAGGTACATAGTAACAGCGATTATAAAAGGTACACACTAACAGCAATTATCACAGGCAGACTGTGGCCAGTAACCCCTGAACCCAAATTAGTAGGTCCTGGAATAGTTTGTCTGAGTCCTTATTTGCAAAGTTACCACTGGAAAAAGACAGATACACCATGTATTGAAAGGCAAAGAAATTCCTATTTAAGAATATAGCTTCATGGTTTCTTTAATCTGTCCTAAATTTTCACTGAATTCACTGGATCAGGTACTTGATGTCTTGAATAGTGACTGAAGGAAAACCTGATCAGATTAGCAGTTTGCTTCAGCTGCACAAGTATGTAACTCGATGCCAGTCAGAGGACTGATGTAGGGCATTTAGTCACAGTTGTGGTTTAATCCAACTTAAAATGATCAGGACTTCAAAGCATACAATGCTACTTGCACTAGAGTAGATACTAAATTGACTCTTTTGGGGTTTCTTGTTTGTTTGTTTGTTTGGGGGTTTTTTGGCAGTTTCACTTTCTAGGTTGCCCTCTGGATTTAGCCAGTCATTTATGTCATTTTACATCATTACAGGCTTTCTTACTGTGGCATCGTCTTGCTAGATGATCTTATGATCACAACCCATGAGTAAAGCCCCTCGTTGCCACAAAGGATCCTGAGATTTTGTGGGTTTGTGTGAAATCTTCATGTATTAAGATGTATTTATACTTCATAGCACCAGAAAAACAAACAAACAAACAAACAACCCTGTAGATTGACACAACTTTTCAAAACATGAACAAAGTAATTGAGACTCTCATTTTCTTTGTGAGTATGTCAAAAGTAGCAGCTGGAATGCAAAGTCTCAGAACCTGGGCCAGGGCATGTTCCCAGTATGGTCAGAGTCCATACAGGCCAGAGGCCACTTAAGTCTGAGTGTATACACCCAATTTTGGAGGGCAAGGAAGCTTGACAAGCTTGAAGCAAGGAACATGGTCAGATTCCTGGACTGCCTTGGCACCACTTAATTAACAAATGAGATGCAGCGGCTCCTTGGCATGGTGCCTTCTCTTCACTGCCCTAAAAATTTGGGCTGAAACATCAGAATAGTGTGGAGCACCAGTATGCCCAGGTCCCCAGTACGGACAAGCTGGATAGCAGAGCTAGGTCTATTACCACACAATCTACCTATTGCTCAGGTACATATTAATGCATCTGGGGACAATGAGAAAAATCTAAAAACCATAGGTTCAATTATATATGAGGAGTCACAGGCAGAAAAGGAGAGAATATAAATGTATATCTTTTTCTTATGCTGAAGTTTATGGTTCGTGGCAAGTAATGCAGCTGAAAACTTTTCCCACC